CCCTGCCCTTGACACGCAACCCCTTTTCCCTGTCTCATTTTGAGAATGTAAAGGTGCACGTGGTACTCCTGTAAATACGATACTATTGGTTCAGAAAGCATCGGTATTTATTACCTGTTTTTATTGAAAGGTTGACATCTGGTTTTCATTTCAAAAATGTACCCTGCTCCTGAAATGCTAAAGCATGAGATTTTTGGACAGGAATGCGGGTAATTTCAACGGCAGCTCACTTCTTGGCTCAATGAAGCTGTCGGTAGAAGATTGGAGGAGCCGCAATCGCACTTAATTACTTCGTGATTTAAAAAAAGGCCCATCAATAAAACCAATATGAAGAATTCGGCGCACACAAAAAAAAAATGACACCAACAAAAGCAATCGAAGCCGTCACTTTGCGCAACAGCCGATTCCTTAATTGGGTCGTTTAAAGCTCTGGCACTAGATAGAAAAAAAGGTCTCCCAAGTTAATCCCCTCGGGGTATTTTTTTTCTTTTTCTAGACTATCTAGACTAGAGCATTCCTCCAGAACGGGCGTTTGATTTACTGCGCCCTCGGAGCCGATCCGACGCGGAGTAACTCAATTGGGCATTAAATAAACGAAATAAAAACGTTGCCAGCAGACGACGTCAGTCGGTTATACGGGACACATGATCCTGATCGAATTATCGTGTTTTAATGGCTTTGCGGACGAGACCCCGAGCTGCGTGACTCGCATTCGGAATCCCTGTCACCCAGCACCCGGAACTATCGTCGCATCCTTCGGGTATCATCAGGGGCCAAGCAAATATTTCTCAGCTTTTATTTTTCCTCCAGCAAAAAAAACGAAACAGATCTAGGAAAGCTGACTTTGTGATAGTCTAAAATATTTGATTGAATACCTTGTGTATTTTTTTACTATACCTCCTTCTTATATACTGTATAAGTAAATGAGTGTTTTTTGTGTGTGACAAAATAAGTCATCTTCAAAGACTGGGGGAAGTTGATTTTTTAACTGTAATTTTACAGAAAAATTCTCGTGTTCTGTAGCGTAGGAAAAGCTCCTAAACCATGAATGTTCTGTTCAACCCATTAAAGGCTAGTTATTACCTATTTATGTGGATATCTGAGTTGAAGATTAATCTAATTAAGCAAAAAAAAACTCCTGAACCCATTTCAATTACTACATTACTGTTCTTATTTTCTGTGCTCTCGATTTGGTTCAGTTTATTGGAAATATTTCAATTGTAATCTCCAAAGAGAGTCCTTACCCAGTAAAATGCAATGTTATACTTGACGCTTAGTAAGTGGACCGTAAAGCTTGTAATTATTATTTTTGTATTTCTACGAATCTTGTTTTTAAATTAGATGGAATAAATATATTCTCCGTACGTTGATGCTTAAAAATGCATACCATATAAGGAATCAATTTCTGGACAGATACAGTTTTTTTTAATGATTTTTCCACTAAATTCTGATTGCTAAATGGGGTGTAATCACCTTTACAGGTATTTTCCAAAATGAAAACCTTGTCATTGATTAAGTTCCACATCAGTTGAACGGGGAGGAGTACCCTGAAAATTCGAATGCACAAGGTTGATAAAGGGTACCTAATAATCCGGCACTTGGAACAAAAATTATCTAAATGCCTCTCCCATTTTTTGGATATTCTCATTTCTTTAGATTTCTTTCGTCCCTAATTTTTTTTCCAAAATAGTCTACATTAAAATCCATGCAACGAAAACTCCAAAACATTCATCCATGATTCTAAAACATGAATTTGATTTTTGTATTTATCCATTGGACTATCAAGCCCACCTTCATATTTAGCCGATCCTATTTTTAAAATTTTGAAACATGATACATGGCTTCCAAAGTTTTGCTCTTTAGTCCTGCTCCGAGGATGGTTACCCTTAGTGTGAATAAATTGTCATGAAGCCAATCTCAGGTGACATTCAATTATTCTCTTCGTCCAGTCCATTCCATAATCGTCACTCACTTTTTGAGGTACTGTATAAGATACGTCCAATGATTCCATGACGCTTTACTTGACTTAAGCTTGATTAATTGTTTGGTGATGAATTTCAAGTGGTTTAAAAGTGTGGAACAAACTTCTGCCATAGTTGTGGTCCATCCGTTCATGACGGTTTATGTGAACCACATTACTCCAGTAATTCATTTCTCTCTCTTTCAAATGGCAGTAGATCTACAGAAATCTACAGTCCATCCGTTCATGACCGTTTTTGAAAACCAAATCACTAAAATAATTCATTTTTCTCTCTTTCAAATGGCAGTAAATCTATTGAAACAAATTAGTTCATCATGATATATGATGAACAATACAGAAGTCTCACATATTCATTTTTTTAACTTTAATTTATGTCCTTTGAATAGTTTTTTTCATGTTTATCCATATTTCACGGAGCATCGATCATGAATTGGCATAATTTTCAGGTCCCCGACAGATGCCACTCCTGGGCAACCAAACTTTGATCGCCTGGGGCACAACTCTGGTGCAACGTGGCTGCAGCGCGTGTGCTTTTATTTGTCAACTCCAGCCCAAAGTAATTAGCATTTGAGATCCTTGTTAAAATATTGGAATGATTTATGGGCATACATGTAAAATCTCTCAAAAACTATGAACTGCACAAATTTTAGAAGGTTTATGAATATAAAAAATACAATCCATTACAGTGCTTGAAAGAATATACGATTTTAGAGCTAAATTTTTGAGTAAAATGATCATATCAACCAAAATGCATTGAATTTTTCAGAAGAACTGTCTGCGTTTTTTAAAGACGCAGATAGTTTTCTTAAATAGGTACAGCTACAGCGGCATTTCTACGTCACCTATTGATGGAAAGTTTTCTTTAATTTGATGGAAGTTTCCGCTGGTCCCTCAGGGCATATATCGGAAATGTCACACAAGCAGTTTGTGACATTTGTTAACCGCATATGCCACAATCTCTTTTTACTGCTTGGCAGTCAACTGCTGAAGGAAATTGTCATATTCTGAATCCTGCTGGTGCTGGTGTATGACTTAACTGGAAAAGTTAACATTGAAGAATACAGTAATCAGCTATGGCCGTTTGCCAGGAATCCTGAGCAATTAATTTTCCCTTCAAGTTTGATTTTGTTGCTTCTGGCACGAGCTGCTTGTTGAGGTCGAATCTCGGCTGGGAGATTTTATTTGTACCCAATCAACATTTCATTTTGAGTCCGGGTTTGTTTGTTAGTTGCATTTATGAGTATTTTTTGTGAGCATCCAATTAAAATTGATTCGATGGCCCTTTAATTCTTACTGGATCTCAAAGACAAATTTAAATTAATTTTGAACTCGCTCTGCGACTGAATACCAACGGTTGAAAAGAACGTCTATCTACTACAGTACAATATTTGATTCAAATGAACAACGTTCGGCTTGAAATTTTGAATATTTGACCGACACTTTTTTGAACAAAATGGATAATTCATGGTTATTAAATTATCCATAGCAAGATGACCGCGAATTTCTGTTTGTCTTTTAATAATTGCGTTTTTCAAGCAGAGAAGAAACGGCAAAAATATTTTTTGCAAGCACGCATAATGGGTATGCTTTCATTGAAAGTTCAACTGGTTCAAAGTGAAATTAATCTGGCGCATGAACCCAAAAAAAATATTTCCGAACGAAGAAATAGCTAATATGCAGGATTCCTCGGAAAATCTTTTTCGCATCAATTTTTCGTTTGATATTTTTGCGATTCGAAAAATAATCGACGTCGTCGGCGATAGAGTCCTGCAGGATGAAAGAGAAAACTATATATATATTTTTTTCAAGTTTGATTTTAACATTGAGCCCAATATTGGACCACTCGATTTTTTTTTACAGTGTCAGATTTGGGTGAATTGTGAGAGGCGTTAATTGGCACCATGAAGAGAAGCATAGGCATATTATTTCATATAGGGCCACAAGAGGCGGGGAGAATCCTTTCCTGAATATTTCCGGGCGTGTGACCCAGTGGCCCACTTGATGATGCCGCATTTTTTCGCTACCCAATTCAGTCGCGTGCAAACACGCAAACTGACCAGATACGAGTTTTTTTTTTTTCAAAAAGCACGGTTAAAAAAAAATCACACCAATACCAAAATCGAGAATTTTTCCCATCCCTTCATTGGCAGTGACGTGATTGGCATCCCTGCGGTTATATCAACAGGCACTCCAGACAAGCAGGTGAAACCTACGTGTAACTGAAGGGGAGAATAGTGAATGCCAGTTTTTTGCAATTGCACAGCATTTTCATGGAATCGACCCTGTCTTAATTCACTTTTTTTTTGGCTGTTCCAAAACCAGCAGATGCACATTTGAAATGGAAATTTGTTGCGTGATGCAATGGAAGCGTTTTTTTCTCTCGAATGGATGCAATACTGGAAGCGTGCGAAATAACCTAGAAATATTGAGTTGTGTGACATTGCGGAAGAACTCTGTTGCAGGTTTACGCGTGTCAAGGGCTTGCTTTCATTCGATTTAACCTTCGAACCTGTATTTTTTTTTTCAACATACGTTTCAGACTGCAAAAATGCGTACAATTCTGAAGATTTTTGAATTTAATTTTCAGAATGCACGCAAATAATATATTCAGAAATATTCTTTTCTGCACCACTCTCTCTCTGAGTAATTATTTTTTGAGTCCCAGTGTACATAATAAAATGCAGGTAGCTCCTTTATATAGAGGTATTCCCTTCATACCGGTTTTTATTTTTTGTTTTCTGCATTTTATTGTTGAGCACACCGGCATTCGAATGAAGTCGATTGAACGCTTGAAAACATAAGGTTTGCCTTATGAAATATGAGTATGAGTATGAAAACATAAGATGTTTTGCCACTTTTAAAGAGCGAGACGATCGAGAGAAGTACGTGAAAATCATTTTCTGTCTAAATCGTGTTCCTAATCATTGTAATTAATTCTCTCACTAAAAATGCGCAGTTTTAATTTTTCGTTGAAGATTGCAGGAAAATGGAAGACAAAAAGACGTGAAAATTACCAAAGATGAAATCTGCACTCCTGGCAATTTCGTTCCTAGCGGTTGGCTGCATCGCAGAAGAGGGAATCAACTTGAAGCAGCATCCGAACATTCTTTTTCTGGTTGCTGATGATCTTCGGCCATTTTTGGGAACTTATAAAAATGACCAAATGGCGATAACCCCGAACCTGGACAAATTGGCGAAGAAATCTGCTCAATTCAATGCTGCTTACGCTCAAGTACTGATTTTCTCTTTCTCGAATTTTTTTTTCATATTTTTCAGAAATTTAATGACACATGCATTGGTGAATATTCCAGCAAGCTTTGTGTGCTCCAAGCAGGAATTCATTTTTGACCAGCAGAAGACCTGACACATTAAAGCTGTACGATTTCTATTCCTACTGGCGAAATTTTGCTGGGAACTTCACGACCTTGCCGCAATATTTGAAATCCCACGGATATCACACGGTTTCTGTCGGAAAAATATTTCATCCAGGTACTGTATAAGTGCGGGAAAGTTTTGTTTTAACTTGATGCATGATCTTTTTATGAGAATGTATTATACACTTAGGAATTTCGTCAAACTTCTCGGACGATTATCCTCACAGTTGGTCACAAAAACCATTTCATCCAAAGTCAGAAGAATTCAAAGACGCAAAAGTTTGTTCTTCACTCGATGACGAAAAACTGCACCGGAACATTGTCTGTCCCGTGGAGATTTCAAAAATGCCAGGAAATACATTGCCTGACATAGAAACTGCTCAATTCGCAATCGATTTTCTGCGTCAACGCGCTTCATCCAGTACAGGAGTAACAACCCCGTTTTTCTTGGCTGTTGGGTTTCATAAACCTCACATTCCATTGAAATTTCCGAAAGAATTCTCAGGTTGGATACTCCAAATTTTTTTCAAGAATCAGTAAGCTTATACCAGTGATGGGGGTTTAACCTTTTTTTATAGACCTGTACCCGATCGAAAACGTGACGCTTACGAAACACTCTGAGCGACCTCTAGGTTATCCAACAGTTGCATGGAATTCTTGGTTGGACTTACGCAAACGCGAGGACGTAAACAATCTCCACTTGAAGTTTCCTTATGAACCAGTTCCAGGTAACGTATACATACAGTAGTGCATTGCAGGTGTGATTTGCACCGAGAACTAAATGCATAATTTCACGCATCAGTTATATCCAAACTGTCTCAAATCCATACTTTTATACTATAGTTTACAGCACTTTCGAATTTTTTTCTATACTTTTTTAATCTCGGCATACTGTATAGCGATGAGTCTGATGATATGAGAAATACAGTACAGTAACTAGTTTTTTGAATTTTTCGAGGTGTGTCATCTCAATGAATTGGACAAAAGTATTTGTCTTAAAAGTTAATCCATATCAATGATTTAGGACTATATTATGAGACAGCAATGAGCCTTGGAAAATGCTGGTACAGTAATTTTGTTTACGTAGACTGCACAACATGATACAAGTGCATGTATTATGCATGATGCCCGAAAAAATAAATATGAATATTTTTTCGCAGAATGAGATTCAAAATATTTCAAGTATGCAGTTATGTACCAATGTAGGATTACTTGAAACTGTCCCACAAAATAAGAGCCCAACATGATTTGAAAGGCTCAGATAGATATCTACAATAAGCTAGAAATTATTACTGCATTTATGTGTGATTATGAACCAAAAAATCATTTCAATACTTTACACTCCATACAGTATTGCACATTTTGAAGTTGCACATCTGAGTGATCACGGTATTCTGTTGTCTCTGCTAAGTGCTAAAAACCATTAAAAAGTATTACTAAAAACAACCAGAACGTTCTTGCATGTTCTCAGGTACTGTATTTATATTTGAGAAACCAGCTGCTGTGGGTGCCTACATGGGCAGCATTTTCAAAAACCTAGAAAAACTTTGAAACCTTACGATTCAATCGACAGAAAAAAATAATATGACATTACACTAGCATGACTTGAAATTCGTGTAAGGGCAGTTGGATGCCGACTGACGCATGTTGTAGACAGACCGTGCTGTGATGAACTCTTACCTAGCTGGCATAGCATTTCCTACGAAAAAAGTATCAATTGAGCGACATCTATTTAGTATCATTAAAACTGTGAATTTGGTTTTCAAGCAAGGGGTTTAGGGATCAGTTTGATCGCCTTTGCAAATCGGCTAACTTTCGGTAGATGTCCAGTACTGTAACTCAAAATTCACGTGACGCTGAATTGCATTTTCTTCTTTCTTGAACGTTATTCAAATTTCTGTACTGTGTCATCATGCAGATACTTTTGCCAAGAGAATCCGTCAGGCGTATTTTGCCTCGACGTCCTACATCGATCACCTCGTCGGCCAATTGCTGGATGAACTGTCCATGTCCAAGTCAATGGCGTCCAACACCATCATCGTTTTTTTCGGTGACCACGGTTGGTCCCTCGGCGAACTCGGAGAGTGGGCCAAATATTCAAACCAAGAAGCAGCCTTGAGAGTCCCACTAATTTTGCACATTCCAGGCATTACTGATCACACTCCAGAACAGATTGACGCACCCGTGGAACTCTTGGACATTTTTCCCACGCTTGTGGAAGCCGTTGGGCTTGAACGAATGCCTGAATGTCCCTCTGAATCCCGAATCAGCAGACAAGTAACATTTTGCACAGAGGGCAGAAGCTTGCTGAAGTTGATGAGAGGCCTAGAGAAGCAAAGTAAGGGTGAAACTATTGCTGCTGCAGCTTTTTCACAGTACCCAAGGCCCGGAGCAAAGCCGACGTTGAGACCAAACAGTGATGAGCCGAGGTTGAGACAGATCCAGGTTATGGGTTATTCTGTCAGGGTACCAGGGTTTCGGTACACGGAATGGGTACGATTCAATCCCAAAGTTTTTGCTGCTAACTGGACGGCGGTTGTTGATGTTGAGTTGTACGATTTGCTGAGGGATCCGGATGGGGTGGTTAATCGAGCATTTGACATGAAGTTCGCTGGCGTTCGTGCAAAGTTGACGCGGATTCTCCGCTCAAAATTTTGCTGAAAAATCATGTTAACTGGTTCAACGTGAAGCCAAAAGTTTGAGAGCAGAACAAAACAAGATTGAATAGAGAATAAATGGAGAGTATGAATTAGTCTGCGTTTGATTCTGAAAATAAAAGAGAATATTGGCCGAAGAAGTCGGGAATACAGAATACAAAGTAGGTATTAAAAAACCCTTTACTATCAATAAATATTAACAAAGACAACACAATTTTTAAATTTGCACCAGGAGTAATTTTGCCATGAACACAATTTTTAAAACCTGCTTCAAAAAGAAAAATATGAATACAAATGAAAATAATTGCGTCACGGTAAAAGTTAGGGGGGAATTGCTCCTTGAAATTCTTGGACACTGCGTCAATTCGATATCATTCTTCCAGAACGCAAATGTGAAATCGAAAAAAGAGTGCTTATAACAGTATTCCGAAGTACTGTACCGCAAAACAGGTCTCAATTTATGGAAATATACATTCAAGAATTTCCCCTAAAAATTCAAAGTACGTTCCGATCATGAACAAGTAACGTGCTCTTCAGTTCATCTCACAATCGGATCTACATTTTGTCAATATTCATCACGATTCAATTTTTAAATAAATTATAATTTAGTCACACATAAATACAGAAACTGTGCGCTCTATTTGTAAAGTGCACATTAATTTAAAACGCCACACATGTGTTCCAGAACATAATTAATCTATAAGTTGGTGCACCTACTGACAAAATATTGATATTTGCTAACTCTAAGACCGTCGGTATTCAAAAAGGATATATTCATATCGAAGGATGATATGAATAAAGAATAATCTATGAAGGCCGTACGCCAAGAAAATTTTGAAGAAGGTGAATGAATGGCTGGTTTGCGCCATCTACCTCAGCAGCAGCGACACCTACTGAGCAAATTTTAAGCAAGCATGGTCACGGTTTGAGGACCTGCGCACGAGGTCAGGGTGACACCTGATGCTCTACAAAACGCTTTGTCAAACATAGCTCATGGTAGTACGGCGAAATGTATTACAGTATTTGGGATTGCGATGGACTCTAAATTGAAAGAATAAAAATTCATTTTTTTCTTCATTTCTTGTCTTCATGGAGTTTCTTCAGTCGCAGTCATTTTCTGCTGCAATAAATCCCTTCATGCGTGAATAAATGAATGTATGAAATCGTGCGATTTATTTCGATAGCACACAAGTCTTTCTTTCCTTCGAAACACCGAAGAAATGAGCCAACCTCTTCGCAGAAGTGCCGATTATCATTAGAAGGAAAAATCGTAATATTTCGCTCACGTTCGAAGCAGACAGTAGCTGAAAGGACGTATTTCCGGGAAAAAAAGAAGCGAATGTACACGTTTTTTTGCAGTACTCCACTCCACGCTCGGATGGAGAATTGGCAGGAAGCCAAAGCCTTTCCGCGATCGCCCGAGGTTGCAGGGAATTTCCGGAGATGGGCTGTTCCACCATGGGTACATGGGTTCTTCTGGTACGCGGAATGGGTGAGGAGAATCCCCTTCATGAAGCATACACTTGTTTCCCCAGCTGGGTTACGATGATCGATGCTCCGTTGTAAGTCTCGCACCTCAGACGTGAACAAACATTTCTGACAAAACCTTTCAAGGAAGTAATAAATTGTCCAGACGCTTTACTAGATTTGTTATTCGGTCTGCATGTGATGGTAGCTCACCGAGTTACTCTGATACTGTTGTGCTTGTGTCTGGTAGTCCAAAAATATATGAAAAGATTGACCTCACATTTGTCTGAGTGCCAAAGTCTAAATGACATTAGAAATCTTCGTTACTTTTCGCTGGCTTGCAATCTCAGAAAAATGCTGTGAAAATATTTTCCAAGTCGATCCAGTTCATCGTTGATTATTCCTTTCATCAAAACTTGATATACTTAACTGGAGCCGTTTATGCAATGGCTGCATGTAAAAACGTTCCAAATATCCAGATTCCGTTTTTGAGTCATTTTGGAGATAGATTCAATTTTTTTCAAATTAAATTGGCATTAATGTTGATTACTCTCGACATTTTTGTGTACTTAATTTGGGATGATAGTAAAATTCAGTATAGAGAGTTGAGAAAGCACCTGATCGCTGCAAGAAAATAGAAATGTTCAATGCTCACTCGAATTTTGTTATTCGCATGTTGCATTTACATGAGGGTTTGAACTTCTTGAAAATTTCTCCGTACAATTGCAAAGAACGGACAATATTGTTCTCGTACACACACAAAAATTGATCTTGCCAATCTCACGTTATTTTAGCGATGACGCGCGATACGGAGGTTGTCCAATTGAAATGTTCATTGTCAAGCAAAAATTGTCCCTAGTTGACACTAAATCGATGCAAATTAATAGGATATGAAAAAGCATGGGATTAGAGAATTCTGACTGACTGTAACGAAAATTTTTTAAGGTGATTAAAAAAGAAAGCATTGGAACCAAACCTTGCACTTGGAGTTCTCGAACCCACAAAAGCCTCATAATAAGTTCATGAAGTCCAGGACAAAAAAATGTTAAAAATAAATATTTCACGCTGGATTTTGGTCCAGGTCCGAATTTTTTGAGTTAACCATCTTTTGGCGATTAAATAGGTCGTGTGATGTCAACAATTAATTTCTAAAATAATAAGCTTTCAAGCGAAGAGTATATACGTATGCTAAATTGAATGTGCAGTACTTTCACGACGAAAATTTAATATAAAAATATAAAACAAACTCACCAACACGGACGTTCATGAATTTGAGCATGTCAGACAAAGGTATATATTGTCTTTTTTGTGTGTGTGTCATAATATTTCCAAATCACGAATATACGTATGTAGATCAAGTCAAAAACACGAATAAATGTTCACCCCACAAAGTTGCACCAGCAAGAAGGTTCTCAGCTCGGAGATTCGAAAGGCAATTTTTATACATGCTTCTGCTTTCGGAAACAGCGCGGGTCATTTTTTAGTGTCTCAGAAAATTGGCCCGCCTTTGAATTCCGAAAAGATTCAGCGGGAAGCGAACTATAGAGAGAAAAAAAAAGATTCCGAGCAAAAGCCATCAGTTGACTCCCCTCTACGTGTCGAGATTCCGAAGGAGGAAAATGGATGTTGCAGCTCTTTGCATCGGACAATGCATCAGGATTTCCCAGCATTCTCAGTTTCTCCCCTTTCTACCCCCATCCGGCACCAGAAGAACTTAATAAATGAGTGAGATACACCTCACTCCATACAACGAACCCCTGCTACCCCCTCTTTTTTTTTTTTTGTGTGTGCACCAACATCTATCGAGATGATCCCTGGGGGAACGGAATTCGAAGTGCGTGTAATCTAGAGAGCCTATTTGCAGGAGACTGTTGAGGCACTTCTGGAACGTTGAAGCACAGAGGACGAACATATTTCTTGCGATAAAAACGATTCGGCACATTGTAACGCGAAGCTCGTCGTCGTCGTCGCGCTCATTTATATCTCTTGTACTACGAGGGAATCGGCAAAAGTTTTCTCTCTCATCATTTTGACGACATTCAATCAATAAAGAACGATTGCTACTGGTTAATTTCATTGTACCTACCCGGAAGCGAGCATCGACGAAATTTAGTCAATTAAAAGGGTAAAACAAACTGATTTTTCCGTAATTTTTAAGTGTACTTTCTTGCGACTCGATAAAATCTAGATTCAACCCAACCCAACACATGAAGCACGGAAGATTATGAAAATGCACCGCGTTCAACAATAACCGCAAATTCCCGCAATAATAAATTGACAGAGAAGTGGGGTACACATGGAAAATAGGGAAAAAGGTTAAAAAGGGGTTATATGAAGATTTAAATAAAAATTCAGAAAGAAGTTCAAGCCGTACGGGAGTCACGCTATAGGGAACAAAAACATAAAACCACAGATAATTTTGAAGTCGAGTCGCCTAGTGCATGAGGAATAGCCAGCAGAAAATCAAAATTAATTGATAAACAAGAAAAATTTTCATTCATGGCCGGCAAACACTGTCGTGCTACTCGTGCATAATGCAAAACTATAAGGAGAGGATGACAGGATTTTTGGGCAAATTTTTCAAAGAATAATTGAGATACATGTCTTCTTGAAAAACACACATTATACTCCATCAGCTTGTTCAATTGAAATCTTGTTCAATTCTCTTTAAAATGGGATGTAGTTGGATGGTATCAAGTGCTGCACTATGGTCAAAAGAACCATTCGAATGAAAACTTTCAACAAAAACGTTTTCACCAAAAAATTTCATGATGTCTTGGAGAGCCTGCACTTGTTCCCAAAATTCAGGAGGTTATATGAAAATGAGATTTCCCCACGCGAATTCGAAAAAAGGCTACATTTGATTTTTCAAAAAAAAAAACTTCACACTCGATTTTTCGCTCTCTGCCAAAGCCAATTCCCCCGAAAACCCCGCAAAAATATGATGCTCTTTATTGGAAAACATGAAACTTTTTGAGAACCCAAAAAGTAGCCCCAGAGCAAGGGAAGTTTTGGAAAAGAGATTCCTTAATGTTCAGCCTGCTTGATGGTGCGCAAGTTATGGCAAGGGAATTTATTTTACTACGAACACGTGCCAATGCGAACCACGGGGAAATGTGCAGAGAATGAGGAAAGGTCCCCTCACTTCTCTCTATAGCGACATTTTCGCCCTTCGATAAGCTTTCAAATAACCGGCTCGCAACGATGCATTTATTCAAGTTATCTCGGCACATTCCACGGGGTCAAAGCCTTGTTTTATGACCAATTCTAGTATGAGCCAATGTTTCGCTTACTCGACCGGATATGCTTCATTGCTGCGGGATAAATACATTTTTCGAAAATTTCGAGGGATTAAAGAACGAGTTGCATTTTAGATGAGAAATTCAAACGAATTGTGCCGGATTTTCAAACCGTGTGTTTTCTTCAAGCAGTGTCTAACTGTGTGCATCATAATTGGTGGCATCGAGAATTGAAGTAAATTGACTGCAAAAGGCGCTGCTGGTGGACTTGGAAATATTTTCCATAGCGATATTCTCATTACTGCCAGATTTAAATGCCTATATATCCCGAGGAATCTATAAAAAGTTAAGTTAGGCAGCTGTAAAAATCTTTAGTATTGTATCTTTTTCTCAATGATTTTTTTTTCGAAGGTGCAAGTTCAGCCACACGGACTCATAGCTTCTCAACGTTTTTTTCCAACTTTGCGCTCTAATGGGAAGAAAAAACACCGACAGACAACTGTGAAATATTTTTTTTGAATCGAAATGATATCTATGGACTTCTATCAATCTAATATACAGCGTTGGGTTAGCTGCTGGGATAATTCTTGTGTTTGCTGTACTGAGACCTCAAAATATGGACAACCTACCCAACATATGAACAATTTGACTTGGGGACACTTGAAACTTTAAAAATTGGACGCATACATCTGGACAATATCTTGACACACTTTTTCTACCAGCATTGACACTTTTCTACCAGCATTTTTGGATAAATGGAAAATTTTGCTTTTTTTAAATTTAAATGTACAGGTGGTACCTTGCAATTTGACCTCTGACAATTTCACTATCCTGCAATTTGATGGTTGAATTTGCTGGGACACCAACTCTCAATCTGACCTCTTCCACACAATTTGACCTGCAGAGAGATATGAAACATCAAACACCATGTAGAAAACATGCCATTTGACATTGTCTTGCAATTCAACTGCTTTGCAATTTTACCCTAGTCCAGCAATGGAATAGGATCAAATGGCAAGGTATCACCTGAATCTATTGAACAAATTGAGATATTTATACTAACAAACTTTGGGAATGATTTTCATTGCATCCTAAATTTATAAATTATAAATTTACTCAAATGTATAATCATGGACAGGGTAATTCTGTGCTTCTTTTCTGTAGTACGTTCCATCATCTGTGCACAGGATA